GCCACTGAAAGAACAAAACAAGAGCATCCTTCGCCGTACCTGTATTGCTGAAGCTCAGCTCTATCAGTTAATTAAGTATCAGTAGCAAATGTACGTTTCTTGTTGTCTCTTTTTCTTAAAGCCGTGTAAGCAAAATGTTTGTATTTCCGACCGGGCCACACCACTATTTACTGGAAAAACATAGGTAAAGGTTTCAAAACTGTTTGAATATCGGGATATACACATTCTTACCTCGAGCGCCGCTTGCTGATATGAAGCAAAGAAAACATTGACAGTTTGCAGGTGTCTTTCAGGAAACCTCTCCTCAAATCTCTTAATGACAAGTAGCATACCTGTTGCAGCGATATCTGTTGAAATCGGGGTTTGAATTGAGTTGCTGATTAAAGGAAGTTGGTATGTAACTGCTTATTTCGTGATGAAATGGTGTGAATATTGACAAAACTATATATAAAGTATAACAGTCACAATCACTTGATTGGACCTTAGAAGAAGACGAAACCACATTCAAAAGTAGAAACATGTATATCAGCGCTAACCTCAATCATCTTTTGTCGCTCACTTAGTTTATAACTCATTATAATCTTAGATTGCGATTTTTTGTCTTGGTTTCAATTTCAAAGGCAACAATAAATTGTTGACAACTATAGTAAACTACTATAGGAGAAAAAGAGAACAAAAGGGTTTGGGATCGTTTTGAGTTTGTGTGTACGGTTTGTTTGTTTTTCATTCGATAAGAACGATACTCAGAAAATAAAAGAATAATTCACATACCCAGTGGGTATCTGTAGGTTCCTGTTCCCAACAGAGGAGTTGACAAAGACTTGAGACCCATGTTATTAGCAAATCTTAGCATCTCGAAGAACAAACGCATCATCTACAGAATATCCACAATAAAAGGGTGTCATGAAAGATCTGGTAGTGGTGTGCATGAGTTTAAAAAACCCAACAGAAATATTCTTCAAAAGGTCTATAAGCCAAAAGAATAAAGTTACCGAAAAGAACGGAATATAGACTTCAATAGTCTGAAGTGGACAAAGCGAAATTGAATGGGTATGTATCAGATTTCCAAAAATCAAACTATAATGAGTGAAGCCAGAGAAGGGTCAAGGCAACAAAAATCTGTTTTACATGTGGGTTCTGGCACTAAAAGAAAAAAAATAAAGTTTCATAATATGTCGGTATACAAGTTATGAACATATAATGCTTGCAGCTTTTGAGCAATCCGATGTTTGTTTATTTTTTAGTGTCAGATTTGAACATGGTTCTCCATTCATTTCTCCACTCAGAGATTCAAAAAATATATTAGGCTGTTCTCTTTGTGTTGCTCATTATGTCAAATCTTAAAAATATTTTCATTATTCTTTATCAAAATTACACAGCTTTAAACAACAAAGATGACCCATCACTTTACTTGAGAGCATGGCTGTGTTTACATTGGCAACTGTACACGTATCACTAGAAACGTGGGACGAGGGGAGAGGTAATCATAATGGGCAACACATTCAATCAAGAAGACTTTGCTAAACACGCCATAACAAGTACACAGCCTTTCTACATGCTCTGTGGCTGAGTGACGATTTACTCACAAAAGCATGGGTATCTATAGATAATATTATCTTCGTCACTGAAATCAGAAGACGCGAGCTCGATACCCGCGCTGTGAAAACTGTTTGCTAAGATGTTGTACAGTATTCAGACAATGTTGAAACAGCCTGACTCCTACATGATTTCAATTGTGTCGATGAAGACGTAAAACATTTACTTTTGACTACATCACTCACCATAACGTTTGCTTTGTTACTCCAGGGCGGTAAACAAGCGTGGAAGATCGTCTGGCACCTCAGATGTCCTCCAGATGTTTGAGCAAACTCCCCGTGCTTTACACCTCCTGGGTAGCTGGTTACAAGCCAAACGAAAAACAATCAGCTTTGATTACACACTCACCTTAGTAAGTAGACAGTCAGAGGGCCTGGAAGACGCACAGTTGAGGCGCTCCGGTAGCCCAGTTGGCATCATGCTGGACTACGACGCGGATGGCCCTGGTTCGAATTTTGAACTCGGCTCGTTTTGTGGAGTTTTCAAATCTCTCAACCGATCTGGCACAGTTCTAGCAGAGACAGGCGTTACATTCAGAAGCCCCGCCCCTTCAAGAAACCCAACAGTGTTGATAAGGATGTTAAACATGATACACATTCTTACTTTGCTTTACACAAAAATGGGTTTGTGTAAAACTTTATGAGGGGGGGGGGGGGTCAAAGGAAGGTTATAGACCGAGTGTTAAGATAAAGCTGCTCTACATTTTCAATTCAATTCCGTGACACACGCACCCAAATTTTGAAGAAAAAAATTACGAGTCTTGGAGCTCGATGTACGTGTTACTTGTCACTGTCCTGTTGTTATTCACTTTTTGGGGGGTGTGGGGGGGGGGGAGAAGTTTTTTTGGGGGGTCAGGTTTCTGTGGATAATACAGTACAGTGTGAAGGGAATAAGACTGTAGTCAAAAGAATGTTTAATATGGATACCTGTCATTAAGTTCTTCTTGTAGTTCACTCCCTCCTTGCCGTAAGATTTGCTTGGACAGCTTTTCGTTCTGAAGGTACAGATTTTTGCCAACGGTGGACACAATGACGTCACTCTGGTCAAACGAAAGTAATAAGCAATATCGAGTATTAAATTTGCTATATCTTTAGATTAGATAGAACTCTGAAAATATAAACAGAGCAAGTGAGTACTATTCAGCAGTAAAACAATTGTTTAGTACAAAATGAAATTCCAACCTCTCTGAAAACAGCACAGTGCAAAGGTCATTGATAGAAGTCTTTAAGACCTTGATGCGATTTAGCGTCTATGAAGAAAATCCTATTTCAAATAGTGAAGAACTGTGGTACATCTTCGTCTATTGTCTTTGGTGAACGACCTTCTTGAAGGGTGTAAGAGGTGTGCGGTGTACTCGTCGTCAACCCGTGTATATAAACAAAGGCTTGTGTTCTCTTTTTGCATCTATATCCTCACCTTTCGATTCAATTCTTTATTTCGTTTCAACAGATTTACTTCAGAGGCAATAAACTTCCTACTCTGCCATTGGTGCGGCTCTTCTTGTTGCTGTTGTTACTTCTGCAATTTTAAGGTATTGTATTTTATGTTGTTGCCATAATTGAACCGTAATTCAATATAAACCAGTAGCCTACAATGACAGATATATTTCACAGGAACAGATTAATACAGTACCGTCGGCGACTTTAGTCGCCAGGCCGAAGTCTGCGCCCATTACCGCTGGCAACTTTAGTCCCCGACGCAACCAAGCATACTAAACATAATTAAACAATGAATGGGCGCACTGCACTATACCAAAAGAAGTCACCCTATATAGCTGAATAGTTAATGAACCCCTATGAATTGTTATTGGGCTGTCGAGGTTTTTTTAATTAAACAGAATTCTACCACGGCTTCAACGTTCTACTCTGGTGCGGTACTTAAGAGTTTTTCACTATACTATGAGCCTGCGGTACTGTAAGTGTAGACCAAATTTCAATTGTACTGCAAACATGTAGAAGAAGCAAACAATACTAGAGCATAATATTACCTACAATGTCCCTTTCAGATATCTTCATTATATTGTTATAGTTATTTTTATTTCATATATATCGGACTAAACTTTCGGTCGAAATCATGTTTTTAACAGTCACGCACTCACCTTTAACTGTTTTATGCTGTCCGACACAATTGCGATGTCAATGCCTTTTGACTGTTGCTGTTGCTGTTGCTGTTGTTGTTGATGCTCTGACTGAACGTCTTCCTGTGGGTTTGGAGGATCCTCCGGTTGAGGCAGAGGAACAACTTCTATGGTACATGAGCTACTTCTCGTCACGTCCTGGACAATTTGCTGGCCTGTCTCACTGTGTAGAAATTCCCTGGCACCGATGTACTTCAAATGCACCTCTTCAGCTTGTACCCTATCCCTGAGGAACAACATATTTCTATGTTTGTGGGGGAGTGTTTGTGGGGTGCTTGCTTTTTCTTGTGTTTTTTTGTTGTTGTTGTTGTTTTTTTGGATTTTGGGAAGGGAGGGGGAGGGTTGTTTTGTTTGATTATATTTTTTTTTCTTTCACCCGTTAAAGTTTATGGCTGATTCTGAGCGATTTCAAAAGTCTCTGGCTATGATCATATAGATGCCGAAGATTAGAAGTAATCTACACAGAGTGACAAAGGCGAAAAGGAGGTGAATAAATAACAACGATAGATGTTTGATAGGAAAAAAGCAGCAAACCACATCAGCGCATCCGCCAACCCCTTCCTACCAGCTCACTGAAGCACACACAACGCTTTGAACCCCCCCCCCAAAAAAAAAAAAAAAAAAAATTTAAAAAATTAAAATTTATATATATATATATTATATAGATCTCTCTCTCTCTCTCTCTCTCTCTATATATATATATATATATATATATATATATTATATATATATATGTATATATATATATTATATATATATATTATATATATATATATATATATATATATATATATATATATATATATATATATATATATATATATATATATATATATCAGGCATCGTGGTGAAATCAGACGATCGTCAAAATATTGAAATCGAATAAACCGGCATTTTTTGGCTTGTTTGGCAAGTTATATGGAATTTTTGTTTTTTTAGCTCAACGCCTTGTATGTCCATTCAAAAACATTCTTATGTGTGAATTTTAATGAAAACTGCTAGGAAAATGTAAATTTGCGGTTTCCGAGGACTCTTGAGCAATAGAAGTCACCATACTTTGGCGGCCATTTTCTCGCAAATTTCACTTCTGCCACCAGGCACCCCCACCTCCTTCAATTGCCAATATCTCGACTTGTATTCAAAATAAATGGATATTTTTGTTCATCAAAAACAAGGCAAATGAACAACCTTTAAGATTATACCAATAACCCTAGGCGCTCCAAAAATGACCAGCGCTTGATTCTACCACATCGTGACACGATAATATATATATATATGTCGACAATATTCTCTAACTATAGCTGGACTATCATAAGAAAAAATAATGGGGGGTAGCGTGTGTGTGTGCGTGTGTGGGTGTGCGCGCACGCGCGCGTATGTGTGTGTGTGTGTGTGTGTGTGTGTGTGTGTGTGTGTGTGTGTGTGTGTGTGTGCGTGTGTGTGTATTTAATAATCGTGTTATTGCATTTGCAACACGCTGTGATCATATAGGTGAGGAAGATTAGACGTAATCTACACAGAAGAGAGTGACAAAGGCGAAAAGGATGTGGATAAATAACGACGATAGATGTTTGATAGGAAAAAAGAAGCAAACAACATCAGAGCATTCGCCAACCCCTTCCTAACAGCTCACCGAAGCACACACAACGCTCTGAACCCAAGCTCCACGACTTTTGACGGACCAGAGAGGGTAAACTTGTCTGTACCTTGCTCCAGTTTTACGTCCTTATGGGACAGGAAACTCTCCAATTTGCTCAGTTCCTTTCTAAAACATTTCAAAAAATATTTCTGGGTTGCCGCTGAGATATCCAGATCTTTCGTTAGAGGTGTTAAAGTTTCTTGTTGAAAGCCAGGCGTTTCGTTTCTATCTTTGAACGTATTCACAGAGGCCATCCGCGTCATACTTCTCTCAGAAGCGGGCAGTGGTTTCGGTTCTGGGGTACTCTGCTGTTCCGCTGGGGAGGATTGACCAGCAAGCGACAAGGAAGTCACACTTTTCTCTGGCCCAAATCTAGCAGTATAGGCCAATTGTCTTGCACTTCGTTCCAAGTGTTTCTCATACTCATAAGGGCTGAGACAGGGGTGGTAGTAGTGGATATACACCCCAAGCCATCTCCGACTGGAGTTCCCTTTGTTGATGGCTCGTTGAGCGCCTGTTGATAAATGAAGAACATGAAGTGTAACGGGGAAAAATAAACCTATTTCACAATACAAAAGGCCAAGGAATGCTGAAAAGAAGCATTTTGCCCTAATAATGATTAGATTAAAGAGTAGAATTTTTTTTTTAAACAGTAGCAAGCTAAACCCTAAAAGGATCTTCCCGTTAAAGAAACATTGATAGTGCCTTTTGAAAAATGCCCTCTAATACCATTGAGAATCATCTCAGAGATTTCAGTCAATGATAATGAAAAATGTTGGCCTATTGGCTTTATCAGTGCCATTGTAAATTGTTATTTGCAGTCCCTGCCGGGTGGTAATGGTGGTGGTGGGGATGGTGGCAATAGTACCAGTAGTGATGTGATGGTAGTGGCAGTTGATAGTGGTAATGGTGGTATGGGGTGGTCGAGGGGGTGGTTACAGTAAACGTGATAATGGTGGTAGTGGTGGTGGTGACTAGTGGTGGTGGTGACTGGTGGTGGTGGTGACTGGTGGTGATGGTGGCAGTAGTAGGAGAGTTGGTGGTGGTGGTGGTGGTTGTGGTTATGGTGGTGATGGTGATGGTGATGGTGGTAGTGGTTGTGGTTGTGGTGGTGGCAGTAGTGGTGACAGTAGTGGTGGAAGTAGTGGTGTAGGTGGTGGTGGTGATGGTGGTGGTGATGGTAGTGGTTGTGGTGGTTGTGGCAGTCGTTATAGTGGGGGTAGAGATGGCGATGGTAATGGTTGGGTGGTGGTGGAGGTAGTGGTGGTGGAAGTGGCGGTGGTGATGGTGGTGGTGTTGGTGAGGTAGTGGTGGTGGAAGTGGCGGTGGTGATGGTGGTGGTTGTGGTGTTGATTGTTGTGGTTGTGATTGTGGTGGTGGAGGTGGTGATGGTAGTAGTGGAGGTGATGGTGGTGATGGTGGTGGTGGTAGTGGTGATGGTGGTAGTTGTGGTGATAGTAGGGGTGGTGGCAGTAGTAGAAGTGGAAGTGGAGGTGGTGATGATGGTGGTGGTGGTGGTGGTGGTGGTATTGATTGGTTGTAGTGATTGTGACTGCGGTGATGGTGGTGGTGGTAGTGTTAACGGTGGAGACAGTAGTAGTAGTGGAAGTAGCGATAATGATGGTAATGGTGGTGGTGGTTGTAGTGGTTGTGATTGTGATGGTGATGGTGAGGAGGATTGTGGTGGCACCAATGGCAGAATCAATGCGATACACTGTCGCCACTGTGGTAGGAACAATATTTCGTGCATTAATGCTTTTGACATTATATTTTCTCTATCAATCTCAGATGTATGTCAGTTGCTTACTTCCAGACTAAAAAACGTCAACGAAACAAGAATTGAACTACTGAATTGTCGCTGGGGCGTGGCTAAATATAATATATATATATACTTTTGTTTTGTTTTAAGCTTGTTTCAAGCGCGACATCAGTTTGTACCAGGGTGGATACCCCCTCCCA